CATAAATTATTACACAGTTTCAGTTTCCCTTTACAATAATGTACAAGAGGTTGTTTAACTCTAGTCACTAAAGTCTGCAAAAAAGTGATATGGAATAAAAGTTACAATTATCACTACGAAGATATTTTTTCTTTTTAGGTTTTTATTTGATTATTTTAAAAAATTACGTATTTATTGTCACAACTTAAAATATACGTCTATAATTGATACTATTAACTAAAAGGTAAACAAAATATAATTTTAAATTAAATGTATGGGCTATCAAGAAAATTCCTTCCGACAAATTTCAGAAATGTAAACTGTATAAAAATATATATAGTGGAGAGTTTAATTTCAAAATATTATTTAAAATTATTGCATTACCCAAGTTTTTCTTAAGTTATACATGGAAGCCACAAAAATACAAGATGTAAATTATTCTCCAGTGAAGCAGTATTAAATCTCTCATCGCCTTAGCAGTGGCTTATTATTTCTGGAATATTAGAATATCTTATGTAATATACTATGAAGAAAAGCTTATATTGAAATGCATGAATTCAAATGTACTGATGATACTCAATTTCTCTTACTACTGCTTTAACTTTAAAAGGATATTTCATTAAGGGGGTTAGAAGGAATTAAGTTGGAAGGATATTTTGAAATAAAATATCAAACTAACATACACTAAGAAAGAAAAGAATACACTATACATACACTAAAAAAATTTTATCAATTGGTTTGAAAACTGAACCAAAGTTGAAATATAAGTAACATATGTCGTACATTTGTAATAATTGTGTAAGCTTATTGTTTTAATTTTGCTTTAAAGATAAATAGAATCGTAATTATATTTTCCATTTTGACAAAGTGTATCATATATCAAGAGTTTATAGTTATAAGTACCAAAACATTAAAGACGTAGGAATAAAACAGTTTTTATTTTTGTAGCGTCCATTGAATGATGTAGAATATTTATCTTCTTATTGTAACTTAATCTATATTTTTTCCCCGAGATTATGATGCACTCATAGAAAATACAATATTAAAGTTCACATATTGTTTTACTGAATCAGTAGATAATAAAGAAAGTCATTATTCATGGTCTATGACCACCATCACAACTATAAATTTTGTTACACAAATTTTTAAAAATTTAATACAGTTTTACTTATTTCAATTGAAATACATAAATGATCTAAATACCTCAGAACTTCTTCAGTTAAATATTAAAATAGTTTAGATTGTAACTTTTAACATTAGATATGTTAATATTAAATCTATGTTCTTACTTACATACTATCACTATTGGAGTTTTTACATCAGTTATATTTCAAGTGTTTTTTTTTTTATAGTATTTGAAGAATTTTGAACATGAAAAATATTTTTTTCATAGGTTATTATTAAACGTTTTCTACTTACCATTGATTCCAACCCAGCAGATAATCCACCTGATAGAGAGTGTTAAAGTAAAGATAGTGGAGAAAAAAAGCAAAAATAGCTGCATTTGAACAAATTTAGAATATTTTAAAAAATAGTGTTATCGGCTCGTTGGTCTAGGGGTATGATTTTCGCTTAGGGTGCGAGAGGTCCCGGGTTCAAATCCCGGACGAGCCCAATTAGTTATTTTACTATCTATTATAAAAAATGAAAAAAACATATAGAAGATATTTTAGTCCTGTATAAATTCTCACCATTATTTAAATATTTTTTTACGATGATATTGTTCTTTTGACCTTTTCTAAATCTGTATATGTAGTAATACAATAAAAAGAGACAATTTAATTTTTAAATATTTGTTTAAACACGTAATCTACAGACTATGTTCAATGTAATTACTAAATGAAAAATTCAAATTCTGAAAAAGGTTATTATTCGAAACGGAAGAAGGCGGGAGCGAAAGCTATTTTAATTATATATTTTGCATATTTTTTAAGGTTCATCTATTAATAATAACTTGTTATATTAGTATTAAAAATGAACTTAATCACAGCAGTATTTTTTTCTATTATATAATGAATCTTGGTTGTTGTTATTCATTACGCGATTTCATTTGTTTTCTTGACACATAAAATTTGCCTTTGATTAAGAAGAAAGTTCATGTCTGAGATGTAGTTTAAGTTTTATTGAAAATTAAGGAATAGGAGATCGTATGGTTAAAGATTGATAAATATTTGTTGGAGAAATTTCTTGTTATTTACAGCTCATTCAATTAAGTTTTGACTTTTTAATAAATATTAAGTGAAGTTATGTAGAGTTATGAAGTTATGTTGAGTATATCCTCAATATAAACAAAATATCTACATAACTTCATTGCATATAATTAATAAACTCTCATTATTGCTGAAAATAAACATAATGTACAACAAAACAAATTTTGTAACACTTAGTTTGTTTTCGACAGTTTCAGGTCTAAACGGAATTCATTCCGTAATTCTGTTAACAGTCATTGAAGAGGCACTAGTGAAGTTTACGAGTAATTAGCGTAGTGACTTTGTTATTTAAGTTTGTTAACTCCGTCTTACTTTAGATTGGTATTGTATAAGAAATATTTCTGAATGCTTCTTACTAGCGGCCTTCCTACCTATAACAGGTTATGTACCCAATGCAGTGGTAAATAAATCGTCTTATAAATGGTCAATTTAATCGCCTAAAATCTTAAAAGTCAAATCATTAATGCGGTTGAAATACTTTGTAAATTATGTATTGATAAAATTTAGGTGAAAAAACTTATTCTAATTATATTTTTTTTAGTGCCTAGATAAAAAATTAAATGAACAAATGAATTTTGCAATCGCAAAAAAAGAACTATTCTATTTTGTTTAATTTTTTGGCGTGCACAAACGATTTGTAACTAAATGGGACAACTTTTCACTGAAATTGTTTGAATTAAGTTTATGTTACAAGTGATTAGTTTAGTTAAGTTCGTATTCGACAGTCTCGTCCTGCTTAATTTCTTGAAGATATTTCAACTTATTAATAAAAATTCCTTGTGTTTTTTTGGTTAAAGGTAATTTATTCATTAAACAAATGGTATAAACTATGGTATCTTTAAATCAACTAGTCTGGCATTTTGGATGTGCTACCATATTAAATTAAAAATGATGTAACAAATATAGCCATCCATCTTCATAAACATTGAAATTACATAAGAAATTTTATAAGAAATATACTAAAAATTAAGTTGCAATATTTTGCTATCACAAATTAAATACATATATAGTAAACATGTACTTTTGAAAAATATTTTTAGACAACAAAACAAGTCAAAATTAAAAAAAAATTGAATATTTTAACAGAAAATAAATACTAACAAAATAAATGACTGGCATTAATATGACCCTAAATATTGGCAATTTCCACACATATTATCTAAATGTTTATTATGGAAAAAAAACAATTATATAACCTCCATTTGTGTGTAATTATCCAATAACCAATTCCCGACTTTATATTTAAAGTTAATAACGTAATACTAGTTCGTTATCATCTGAAAAGCGACGGCTCGTCCTGAGCTATGTACTATAGTAGTCGTTACTTGATACTCAACTATTCAGACACAAAGCGATGTTCACTTGACACCCACTTTTAAGACGAGAAGTGACAATATTCTTTTTCTTGTACATCTTAGATAGATCTCGATTATGGTTCATATTGACAGCGTGTCATATTGTTTCACTTATTATCAAAACACAACCATTATTGACAACTGCTCCATTTTTAGCTTAACGATAAATTCACTAATTAATGATTTAAGACTATGTTGTTTAGCGTTAATAAATAATTGCTCACAAACGTGTTGTAAGACTCATTTTTGCGCAAAAAAATAATTAATATTTTAAACAATCTGTATCATGATTCCCGTTTTTGTAATATTCGACTGAATAGTTTTAACGCATTTAATGACGTTAGGGTGAACGGCAAAATATTCTATATATTCTTAATTTGTTATACATGAAACATTTTTATAATCATAGTAATAAAAAAATATTGTGATATAAGTATAAATGCAAATTATAATGATCATACTACATGTAGAACTGGTTGCAAAGTAGAATCTTATAAAAACTATGGTATAAACTTAAATTCCAGAATATGAAATTAAGTTTTATTTCCATCCTGGATTCAGGTGTTTAATATACATTCGACATAAGCTTGTACTTTTATAATAATTGAAATAAAATACTCCCGTCTGTTGAAATGGTTCTGATAAATGATAGATATAACATAATGTGAGCTCCGAAAATATTAAATATTTGGACACTATCCTTTGTAACATCTTCAAGGACAGGTTGGTCCGCCATTAGCTGCGGTCAGTCTGGACCCACACCACACATTAACACTTCAATATCACTTACCTTAACAAACTTTATGGCTACAACCTATTATAATAAAATGTTGTATCATTATGTAGGGCATAGATAATAGATTAATGGACTCTCAAACAGATTACATTTTAAGTTTTATATAGCTATAAAATATATGTCAGATTTTAAAAAATAAATAATATTATTTTTCAATTACTTCGTTTGGTCTGAACAAACGATTTCTTTAAAAAGAACTTTCTTTAATCTAAATTGTTTTATTAAGATTTGAAACCTTAATATGTATTATTAAAACAGAACCAAGATATTATGATCGATTCGAACTAAACAAGTTGTTTTGTTGGCGTGAAATTAACAAAGTTTTATTTATTATTTATTATATATTTTCATGTTAATGAATTCTTTCATGATGTACATATGTTCTGTTGTGGTTTGAGTTATCAATAAGATGTATTATTATTGTCCCCAATTGTAAATGATACTTGAAGGATATACTCAGTGTAACATTTTTACCCGTAAGATATTTTTAGTTTGAGTGTCATAAGAATTATAAAACATACATGCAAATTATGATCCTAATTTCATTTTATTGACATAAGATTATAGTAAGATACATTCTCGTACATTTTAAAATAATAAATTGCCGCTGAGAATTGAACGTACTTCCATCGTTGTATGAACTGCGCAGTAAATTGATAGTTATTGTTGACTGGGAGCGTGGCGCCTCTTGTAATCCGTGCTACTCGGAGGTCGGGGTCGAGGGATGGTTTGAGGTTTGAGGTCCTGGGACTGAGATGGCCACAACAACCGGATGGCCACATTCAAGCCTAGTATGACTTTGATCTTCTGGAAGAGTCTAGACTCTAGAAGGTGCATTTTACGAAGAGAGAGCAGGTCGGGCCCAGGGAGAAAACTCAGGGACCGAGGAATCCCTTGGTACTGGGCTGGAGTGGAATATAGCCGGGAGTGTACTAACTCAGTAACATACCAACCGATATAACCAGACCCTTCCCTATTTTATAGTTATATTTTTAAAAACCCCTAAAAATCAATTAATTCAAAATTCTATAACAAAATAAATATCAAATTACACAAGTCGTTACTATTGATTGCGGTTTAGATAATTCATTTTTAATTTAAAAACTTTATTATGTCACTCCTTTCTTAGTTTTGATAAAAAACAGAAATGTTTACTGCCATTATACCTTAAATAACTAATCAGTTATTAAATAAATCAATTTTTATAAATTTTTGATATAGTCAGATTATATCCAATGTACATGTCAACTTTGCTTATTTTCTTTTAATTTTCTAGTTATTTATTTCAATTCGACATAAATATTGCCATATTATACAGTCGTGTATTGAATTATGGTTTAAATAATATATAGAGCTATGTGACTATAAAAAAATTTTGTTCGTACGAGTACTTGAGATTGTTTTTCATATATTATAGTGTATTAATTGACAATCAGACGTATGAAGTGCACTGACAGCACTACAAATGAATAGTTCATGAAGTTTGATTGTCACATATTTGTTTTCAACCATACTCATATAAAGTTAGTAAGATGTAGTCGCTGGATCATTACGCAGAACAACTTCACTAATTAGCAGTGTTTCGGATGTTTAGAACTTTTTAATTGGGAAAAACAGTTTACTTGCAATTTTTTCTTTCTCATTTTGTTTTTCGGATAGCATAATAAAAATAAAAAATGTATAGTATATATTAGTATATTTTTTTTAGATATTAATACAGATATTGTAAAATAAGAAAGGAAACGGACCTCTTTTTCCAAATATATGACTAAAAAGTTCTATATAAAAACGAGTTTTGGATAGTTAGTGTTTCCATTTATTTAAATGACTGAAAAAAAGCTAGTGTACCTTGGAGATAGAAATAATTTAAACTTCATGTAAAGAAATGTATAAAATAAATTTTTAATGTGTATGACATATAAATACACGAGCATTGATAAAAATTTTGAGACGATTTAAAATACATTAAACATATTTAAATATGTATATGTATATTAATACTGAATAAGTGTACCCTAGTTTAGACCTCGATGACGAACCAAAAATTATACAGTCATACAAAATTCACAACGCCTTCTCTATGACCCAATTTGAAAACTACATATACCTTTATAAATATACGAAATGCATATTAGAGAGGAGTTTCACAAATTGCTTGGATGAGACACAAAGAGAAATTCTGAGTGACAATTTGAAAGAAGAATTGTAGCGAATAATAAAATAGGTATGAGATGTGATAGCGACAAAGTAACTTGCTATTCACTTTAACGTACACAAGAATGAACATCAAACATACTCTCTCTGATAAGTAATAAGTACATAATACATGCTAATAATTTTAATGTATAAAGCCAATGAAATTATGAAACTTTGTGGTCTAAGAAAAACATGTACAAGGATATAAGGAAAATAGTGTACAGGCTAATGGAAAGAACATAATTTCTTTTACGTTGATAGAGATGCTTCTTTTTAGAGAGTTTCACTAACCCACTTTGAAAGTTATAATACAAATTCTACGGCGTTGTCAAAAATAGACTGCAAAAACGATTGGGCTCGTCCGGGATTTGAACCCGGGACCTCTCGCATCCTAAGCGAAAATCATACCCCTAGACCAACGAGCCGATGAGTATGCAATCTCAAAAAATATGAAATTACTTAAACATTATTATTCCAGAATTACTTTGGAAAATTAAATAAAATAGGTAACTATGTATTTAAACTTATGTATTTAAAATTCAATAAAAATATTAAAAATCCATAATAAACAGAAAAAGAGATCTGTTGTGAATGCAACGTATTCTTGGATTATATTTCGTATATCTAAAAGAAACATTAATATGTTAAATACAAACTTAGAATAACCTTTTAAAACTTGTTAAGAGTTCTGCTACTTCCAGTTTTGAATTTGTATAACGTGTTGTTGAATTTTAATCTCATGTAGGAACTAAAACTATTTAAAATCTGTTAAACACCCCTGGAGGATGTCTGTCATATTAAAGGAACGTGTTTCACTATCAAAAGTTGAAGAGAAAAATGCACTCCTGCTAAAAACCGGCAACGTAAATTTTTAATACGTCCTTAAAATCGGAGATTATAGTGAAATACATTTAATATTGCACGTTGTTGTAAAGAACCGTTAACATCTTTATTTGAACGGTTGTTATTTAATATTCTCTGTATTCAAGCAGTTACTAAAAATATATTTTTATTACGTATTTATCGACGATCAGGGAGATGAAGGAATAATTAATTGCTATCTCCATCAATTTAGATACTTTTATTTGCTTATTGTGTTTGTATTAAATTGCGATCAGAATTGAAGAATCTAAAGATTAAACTCGTGGATTAAAATACATCTTTTATAATATGTTAAAGAAGAAGTCTTTTAAATAGTCTTAGTATTTGAAGGTTGTTCTCGTATTTCAATTAATTGATTTAGTTAAGTTGGCAGTTTACATGTGTCTTATTGTATTGTATCGCATTTACAAGTAAAAATAAATAAAATGTATAAATTAAATCCTTGTGAATAGGTGAATTCTTAATTTATATGATTCTTTGTTTCATCTTTACATCACCTTCAATCTTAATATTAAAGATACTCGTGATAAGTTTATAAAAAGTTTTCTTCAAATTAGGATTTAAAATCTTTAAATCGTAATTATTGTCCGTCATCAACAAATATGAAAAGGAAAGTAATTGCCCAGTTTTAGTATAAGTTTGTCTATATCAGTGTCTGAACAAATGTGTCAATTTTCAAAAGAGTATATTTGTTTGTGTTAACATATCTCCGGGATTACAAGTCCTATTAAAGTAATTCTTTTTTATTGTACATGGTGCTCTTTAACTAAGGATAATATGAAAGTTTCATCTGAAAGGATTCAGTTATTTTTGAACTAGTTAATTTTCTGGAAGTATTTTGTAATACCAATGTAAATTATTTATTATCAGTAACTGTTGGATTATTTCGTAATCGCAACATTTCTTGGTATGTATGATTATCGTGTGTTAGTTTTAACAATCTATTGGTATCTAGTTCTTCGATTGTGAGGCAATATCAGGGACCTTTGCAGAATTACCTAGTTTTCCCTACAACTTTAATTTAAATAAAAGTAGTAAAATATTTCAAAATATAAAAACTACTTCAAATTATACTTTACTAACTAACCTATGTTGGAACGATTAGAAAAAATGTAACCGAAGTAAAAAGTAAAAAATATAAATTATAACCTGAATAAAGAAATTTTCATATTCCAAATGTATTTTGAAGTCGGCATCCGCCCAAAAAATAAAGAAAAAAGTAAATTAAAACTGTGAAACACCGTTAAATACATCTATAGCAAAGTAAAATAATTTATAACTCCAGACTAAATTTTGATGATTCAAAAAGAACCAAACAACGTGACATCGCAATTCCCAATCAAAATAAAAACAATATGTACTAAAAGTTAAAATCTCATACAGTTAATTTATTAATTTACTAGTTTTATTTCGCCAATTAATCTGGTGACAAACTTTTATATGATGAAATTTATGTAATGAAGTTGTTAGTAGATAGAAGTTTCAAAGTGAATATTTATTTTCTTAGTTTGAGAGCACTGAAATAAAAAGTATTGATTAAAAAGCTTCTTACATTTTATTTAATGTTGAATTTTCTGTATTCATGTTTTTGACGTTATCCTTAGTAAACCTTTTCATAGTTATATGGTATAAATTATGGTATCTTTAAAACAACTAGTCTGGCATTCTGGATGTGCCACCATATTAAATTAAAAATGATATCACAAATATAGCCATCCATCTTCATCAACATTGAAACACATAAGAAATTATAGATCAATAAGTATAAGATATCTACTAAAAATTAAGTTGCAATATTTTGCTAGCACAAATTAAATACACTTATAGTAAACGTGAACTTTTATAATATATTTTTGGACAACAAAAATAGTTAAAAAAAATTGAATAATTTAACAGAAAATAACAACTAACAAAATCAATGACTGACATTAATGTGCCCCTAAATATTGGCAATTTCCACACATATTATTTGAATGTTTGTTAGAGAAAAAACAATTATATAATGCTAGTTTATAATCTCCATTTGTGTGTAATTATCCAATAACCAATTCCCGACTTTATATTTAAAGTTAATAACGTAATACTAGTTCGTTAGCATCTGAAAAACGATAGCTCGTCCTGAGCTACATACTATAGTAGTCGTTACTTGATACACAACTATTCAGACACAAAGCGATGTTCACTTGACACCCACTTTTAATACAAGAAATGTCAATTTTCCTTTTTCTCGTATATCTTAGAAAGATCTCGTATATGTATCATATCGAGAGTGGTTAATCGTTTCGATTATTATGAAATCACAAGCATTATTGATGACTGCTCTATTTTTTTTTTATTTTTTATTCACCAATTCTTAAATTACGATGTTAAGATTATTTTCTTCATCGCTGATAAATAATTGTAACGTTTTATACAGCTCATTTGTGCACGGGAAAATAATAATATTTTAAATAATATGTAACATTATTTCCGTTTTTGTAATTTTCGCCTGAATAGTGTTAAATCAAGCAAGCTTAATTTTTTATATATAAGATTTCAACAAAAATAGAAAAAATAAATGCAAATAATAATGTACATTCTACAGCTATAACTGATTACAAAGTAGAATCTTATAAAAACTATGGTATAAATTTAAATTCCAGATAATGAAATTAAGTTTTATATCCATCCTGTATTCAGGTGATTAATACACATTTCAGATATTAAGCTTGTATTTTGACGATAATTAACAAAATATCCCTGTCTGTTGAAATGGTTCTGATAAATGTTAGATATAACATAATATGAGCTCCGAAAATATTAAATATTTGGACACTATCCTTTGTAACATCTTCAAGGACAGGTTGGTCCGCCATTAGCTGCGGTCAGTCTGGACCCACACCATACATTAACACTTCAATATCACTTACCTTAACAAACTTTATGGCTACAACCTATTATAATAAAATGTTGTATCATTATGTAGGGCATAGATAATAGATTAATGGACTCTCAAACAAAGTATATTTATAGTTGTATGCAGTTCTTAAATAATTTCGAGGAAATAAATACAAACATACGTTTTAGATTTTAAAGAATCTCTGTCTATGTATTCAATGGCAAGTGTGAGATATATATACTTTTATTAATTATTAAAAATATAACTTATAATTCGCTTATCACTTACTTCATTCACTTCAAAATATATTTGAAACAATTAATCGTATCTCACTTTTTTATAATCGGCATGATATCTATGTTTAGCACTCCATGTCTAGTCAGTAATTTAAATGTTTGATGAAGAAATCCTTACTATAGTTTATTCCGCTCGGCCTAGAACATTTCTATTCTATTTTAGTGGCCGAAGTCTGTCAGACGAGTTGGCAAGTGCTGCTTCAAAGCTCAAGTCATGTCTATGAAAATAACTGGTGGTGACAATAGACAGGACAGAACGTTTAGATGATCAGAATCTTAAAGATAAACATTAAAGAAGAAAAAATGAACAAAGATACTCATGGCTTTACTAAACTTGAATTACTATTAAAATTAATTAATAACAAAATACAAAAGACATTGTTGCAAATTATTATTATTAGTTTAGATAAAGTTAAATTTGCTGTTTAGTGACGTGTAAATAATATTGTGACAATTTATATTTTATGTTTTCAATTAAAACTGTTTTATATTTAGAAATTATAGATAACTTAATTATTATACCATAAAAAATTTATCATGAATTCCCGGTCTTATAGTCTTGAAATTACAGCTGTTTTTATATACACGTTAAATATAATATTCAAGTTGTCAGACGTAAAAAAATCCGGGTTCCATATGTACTTTTTTTACAATTATATTTAATATATGGATATGGATGACTGGTAATTAATTATAGATTAATTTTGTTGATATTCATTTTGCATGAGACACTCGTAATATAAGAACATAATTTGAAATGAATGTAGTTCTGTCTCAAGTAATAAATAATATTATTTTTGAATTACTTCGTTTGGTCTGAACAAACACATTCTACAGAGAGAACTTTCTTTAATCTAAATTGTTTTATTAAGATTTGAAACCTTAATATTATTAAAACAGAACCAAGATATTATCAAGATCGTTTCAAACTAAACAAGTTGTTTTGTCGGCGTGAAATTAACAAAGTTTTGTTATATTTTCATCTTAATGAATTCTTTCATGGTATCTGTTCTGATTTGAGTTATGATAAGGTTACATTACTATTGTCTACAGTTTTAAATGATACTCATATGCCACGATTTAAAATTTTCCTGTAATAATAATAAAATGTACATTCCCAATATTATTCCTAAGATACATTCTCGTACATTTTAAAATAATATATTGCCGTTGAGATTTGAACACACTTCCATCGTTGTATGAACTGCACAGTAAATTAATAATTATTGTTGACTGGGAGCGTGGCGCCTCTTGTAATCCGTGCTACTCGGAGGTCGGGGTCGAGGGATGGTTTGAGGTCCTGGGACTGAGATGGCCACAACAACCGGATGGCCACATTTAAGCCTAGTATGACTTTGATCTTCTGGACGAGTCTAGACTCTAGAAGGTGCATTCTACGGAGAGAGAGCAGGTCGGGCCCAGGGAGAAAACTCAGGGACCGAGAAATGCCTTCGTTCCGGGCTGGAGTGGAATATAGCCGGGAGTGTACTAACTCAGTAACAGCCTAACCGATATAACCAGACCCTTCCCTTTTTTGGCGTTATATTTTTTATATTTTATTTAAACAGTTAAAAATCAATTAATACCTTAGTAACAAAATAAAATATCAAATAACACAAGTCGTTATTGATGTATGCAAATCAGATAAATGATAATTCATTTTAAATTTCAAACGTCATAAAACTGACATACATGTCAACTTTACTTATTCTTTAAATTTTTAGTTGCTTACATCAATTCAACATAAATTTTGCTATGTAATCACATATTAGGGTACAGTTTAAATAATATATAATACAATTTTGTGACTTTACGAAATTTAATTTAGTTCGTACGAGTATATAATGTTTTACTATGTTTAGTATAGTGTGTTAACTGATAATTTAATGTATGAAGTGAAATTATCACACTACAAATGAATCGTTGATGAAGTTTGATTGTCACATAGGTATTTGTTTTCAACAATACTCATATAAAGTTAGTAAGATGTAGTCGCTGGATCATTACGCAAGACAACTTCACTAATTAGCAGTGTTTCGCATGTTTAGAACTTTTTAATTGGGAAAAACATATTTTCGTCGCTGTTTTTTTCCCTTTAGTTGTTTTGTTATTTTTTGATCTTAGCTATGGAACTAAAAAAATATTAATCAACATTATTTACCAAAGAAAACTGTCTTATAGAAAAGACATAAAAATTTTCATATACTTAATTATAAGATTAGTAGATAAAAAATAATTTTTACACTAATTAGTAGATAAATATTGAGAACTTTTGTTAGTCTTATAGAGAAAAAAGAAAATTTTATATAATTCTGTATAAAATGAAAAAAATGAAGAAGCTTATAGTATACGTAAAATGAAAAGTAAGTTCCATGACGTTCAATACTCGTATCATATTTGTGGTCGTAATATGGACATATTATCTGTGAGTTCAGTCCTTTGGGAAATCACATCGCTGCAACCACGTGTACTGTTTAAATACACTTCATTGTATTGACAGACATTGTATGACTTGGTACTGTGATCACTGGACTTAAAAGATAGATAATATTTTCTTTGCTTTCTTTAATGTAATACATTATACAAATAAATATCCTTCTTTCAATAAAGACTAAACTCCATTTAATATTTTGTCAGTATAAGTAATTAAAATTTCCAACAACAGAATATTATTAACCTAAATGAAATAATAAATACACGATGCAACTCATACGTGTCAAAGTTTAAGACGAATTATTAATGTAATAAAAATAATAATAATAAATTGAACTTATAGGACTCAATCGTTTTAGTTACTAAAAGTACTAAAAGGGTAACGATTTTAAGAATTAAATTATAATATTTTGTGCACTGTGTTTTTCATGGTTAATAAAAAAAAGTGTGTGTGACTTGTTTGGGTGTGCACGTGTTTTTCTGTTAATTTTTCTTTTTTGTGTCCCAATATGTAGTATAAAATTTGTTATATAATAATTAAAATCCTTACTAAATATAGATAATAAACGTTTAGACAAAATTTAAAGCCTTTTAAGGTAAGTTGTCAGGTGGCTCGTTGGTCTAGGGGTATGATTCTCGCTTTGGGTGCGAGAGGTCCCGGGTTCAAATCCCGGACGAGCCCTGCTGTTTTATTTATAACAAAATATTTTGGATGAAATTAAGGAATTTTTATTATATATTCTTTATAATCAAAATTCGACGTATTCGTATTTAAACCTGGTCACAAATAAATATTATTATTAAATTCAAATTAATTTACTTCACACAGGAAGGGTTATCCTTATTGTTTATTGAACATCATTAAATATAAGTAAACAACATTAATTTTTTTTTTCTACTTATTGACATTTGTTTTATAAGCACTATGCACATTTTATATACTTGATAAACAGTCACTATCGTACTATTCACGTGAACTGAAATAAATTATATATTTTCCTTTCTATTACTTTACTTTTCACTTGTAATATTACAAAGATTGGTTTAATTGGTGGTGAAATTAAAATAATAATACAATAAAGGCCATAATTACGTCATTAATATTAAGGCCTATTTTTTTGTATCACGTCAATGAAACACATGCATATGACCAGTATTATGGGAGCGGTCGCAGCCTAATTACACCTGCAATACAAGGGACATCTTTTGCTGGTGGCTGACACATTTAGAATTTGATTATCCTCAATTTTGTCCTTAATTATTTATACAAATGTAGAGTTAGTAGAAAAGTTGTAATTCTTTTATTAAATAAAATAAGTAATGACTTAATGTAAATTTACTAATATCGATCAAATCTTATTATTTCATATTTTTACAATAACTTATTTTTAGTTTTCGAGTAACTTTAGATATAATAAAATAAACACAAGAAATCTAAGAAATATAGAAATATCCACTCTCGGAATGTATTTGCTTTTATATACACTGTACACAGAGATATATAACATACCAAGTAATTGGATCAGATGATTTGATGTTTGAGGATAAAATACTAAAATTTTCTTACTATCATTAAAGTCCACGTTTTACTAAGCTGTTTTTTGCTAAATAACAGTTTTAAGGACCATAACAAAGTCTTATAAACTTTTAATTTAGAACGGTGTTATTCTAAAATATGTAGTTTTTTTAGGAAACTCTTATTAACTTATATCACATAATATTCTAGTTTACAAAGACAAATAAATTGAAATGTTTTGCCAAAAGTGAAAAACTACTTGTAGAGTATTATATTTCAAGCCTAAATACATATAAGGTAAGCCTTAAATTTACACGAATTGAATAATTTTGTTTTTTTTAATGTAATTTTTCATTTACTACTATCGATATTCAAAAATACGTATATTCTGTAATAAAACAATACAGTTTCGGATTCGCTTTTACATACGTAAATAGTTAGACAGCAACGTAGCTAATGTTTCTGGTCTATTACCAATACTTTTTTTTTATTCACTTCGGATTATTGCTTAAGAAAACACTTTGAATATTCTTCAGACATTAATCATGTATATTTTAAGTTAATAAAGTAAATATTTTGTTTATCAATCAATTTACCAAACCAGTCTACCACGACCAGGGCTAAACGTATGTCTACCTCAAAGTACGTAAACTATCTGGACCCTGAGCAGACCGTTCTCAAATTGCCCTTCATGTTGCAGGTCGTCCACACTACATTAACCTAAACGCGGTTTCCACTCTGACTGGTTCAACGCCATCAATTGTATTACCATCTGAAGACAAGATTAGCTCATTTCCATTTTAGCATATTAATTCTGCGAACTATCTTTGATACTTCAGTTCTCTGATTCATCACACTAATCATTCTGTCATCCAAGAAACTCGGCCTAGTACATGATACAAATCTCGCTTGGTGACTTTGAATCTATAGACCAGTAAAAGGGCAAGTGCACATTTCTGAGTTCTGCAGGTTAAGAGTACTAGTAATAGTGGTTAAATATTTTGATCTTTAAGGTTTAAAAATCGACGGTCAGTACTTCAACTGTGGGACCTATTTTCATTGTTGTTAAAGGAAAAATCTAACATTATCGTACTATCCTTTTTCTTAAATAACTTACATATAACATAAATAAAAACAGCTCCCATTCTGTTTCCAGATCAAAGACATAATTCTTAGTTAACGTTGCTTTGAATCTATCAGTTCACATTTTATTTTAATTGTGAGTTATTAATTTTTATTTTGTATTGAAGACTGAATCAGTTACACTCTAAAACTCTTTTTGAAATTTTATTGTAAATGAAAATATTGTGCGTTAAAGGCTAAATCAAAATATATTAAGTGATTTTTCAGTAGCTTTTGGATTATGGCTGTCACTACCAACGGCACTAATTAGTAATGTAATTCATCAAGATAATCGTGTACCAAATAATTTAATTATTCTGCTTTTATTTCCCGTAAAACTGCAAAATACAATTAGCATTTGGTTTGAGTATTTTAAATTGACGTATCTTCTTAGCTTTCCAGTACAACAAAAAGTGTAAAGTGTTATTTTATTTTTGCCACCTGTTGCTACTAGCTGTATCTTTGTTCTAGCGAGTGATTCTATCAGCTTGTTGGGTGGCAACGAAGCGGAAGGATTGTTAGTTTAAAATTAAAAAGCAGCTAAATTTATTTCAACCTTTCACTATTATCTTTACATTTTTAATTTCTTATAAACTTTTTAATAGTAAATATACGAGTATATTCATGTTTTTATTCTGCTTTTTTACGCTGTTTTTAATTAAGATTAGTTTATGGATCTATATAACATTTATATATTGGATTAGTGACGTGCTCAAAGATATTGTAAACTTGGAATTAGATGACGTTTCAATTTTATTATTTATATAAATATATAAAGATCGTTCGTTACTACCCTTGTATCTTAAAGCATAGTGTTTACGACGGTCTTAGCACCGGTCACCACCTTTAGATCCAATACCTTTCGTGCATAAAGTTTACATAAATTATTCCTCAGTTTCAGTGTCCCTATACAATAATGTACAAGAAGTTGTTTAACTCTAGTCACTAAAGTCTGCAAAAATGTAATACGGAATAAAAATTACAATTATCACGATGGAGTATTTTTTTTCCAGGTCTTTATTTCATTATTTTAATAAATGACGTATTTATTCTCACAATTTAAACATACGAATATAAATTTGATTGTTATTATTAACTAAAAGATAAACAAAATATAATTTTAAATTAAATATAAGGTAAGTGACCCAAATAAGGCCTACCTTAACTTTGTTATTATCTAACTAGCGGATTTATTGTAACAATGCACTGGTAATTTGATATTACTGTATTTATTTATTAAACTTTGTTATAAATTAAACGAAATTACTTTAGGAACTAAAATAACACTTTTCTGAATACAAATGACTAAAATATCACTTAGG